AAAGAATAGAAACTGAAACTCAATTACATTGGACAGAATAACGAGGATTTCCTGAACAATGTTTACGTGATAACTACTGAACTAAAAACACTTCCTCTTGAGAACTGTTACTGGTTATCACAGTTGAGTGAATATCTGCCGCTCCGACATCGATCTGAACTGGAGAAATTTCATCTATTTCATCGATTAGATCAGCGTCTTATAATTTTTGTTTGTCAATGCGTAGCTGTGTAATGTTGTTTATGAACTCAACAGGAAATGCAATTTTTAGTCAGTTTTTGGTTAAGAATAGGAGTTGGCGGTGCGTAATCTGAATTATGCAGATTCTTCCTTCAGGCTGGTACATCGCCGCCCAGCAAAACAGACTGTTAGAAATAAGATAATCAAATATAAGCATAATGAGTTTACACAAATTCGAAGTTCACACACTGGGAATGTACACACTGACTTAATAAGAGCTTTCGCAAATACGGTTAAGTGAATGAGACTGACTTACACTACTTACTTAGACGAAGTTCAAAAACAACCAACCGATCAGATATTGATGGTTATTGTGAGGATGATCTTTATCAAATTAGGTCCATTACCCATATTCACGTCAAGTTGACTTTCAACAAAAACGGCACGTGCCAGTTTTAAAATAGCCAAAAAAGGTCCCGACCTGTCTCACCGCAATCCTCCGGCGAGGAATTTAAACTCTGAAAGTATTGGCAAATTGGGTGCTTTACTGATTATAAAGAAGAACTGAAGAACTGCTGGTGAAGAATCGAAGACGTATCAAGAAAAGCTGGTCAAATTCAAAGACAATGCCCTTTGTTTAGTATCTCAAATATCCATAAAAGGATATCTTGAAACAATAGCTTTAGAGCCAAACAATGGCTTATTAATTCACGAGGGAAATCTGCGTAATCTGAATTATGCAGATTCTTCCTTCACGCTGGTACATCGCCGCCCAGCAAAACAGACTGTTAGAAATAAGATAATCAAATATAAGCATAATGAGTTTACACAAATTCGAAGTTCACACTGAGAATGTACACACTGACTTAATAAGAGCTTTTGCAAATACGGCTTAGTGAATTAGACTGACTTATACTACTTACTTAGACGAATTTCAAATACAATCAACTGATCAGATAGCGATAGTTATTGTAAGGATAATCAAATTAGGTCCATTACCCACAATCATGTCAAGTTGACTTTCGACAAAAACGGCATGCACGTGCCAGTTTAAATAGCTAAAATAAAAAGCTTACATAGGTCCAGACCTGTCTCACCGCAGCCCTCCGACGAGAGAAATTTAAACCCTAAAAGTAATGGCAGATTGAGTGCCGGGTTTACTGACTGTAAATTGACCCACATTGTTCTAGACGTTTGTTCAAGTTCCTCATAATGGCCGGCAGTAGAAATACCTAAGTAAGCATTTGCACACGTTATTTGTTCCATTTGCCTTGCTTTAGCGGTCCTTTCTGTGTTGGATCAAAGCGAGATGGCTATCGGAATGGTTTTTTTTCTATCAGTTTGAGTGACATTCCTGAGCTTTTGGATCAAGCGTTCTTACTTGAATTTTTTGTTAACTATTTTTGGTTCTATTGAGGAGTTACCGTAGTTTTCCGGTTCAAGAAGGCGTGCGGGAAGGATGGGAAATATATCAGGGTAAGGAACATATTACTGTTGTGAATGGGGAGAGAAAACAGCCATCCGGGCCATGAGGGATGGATTGCGATTAAATTAAGTTAAACTGGACACTTTTATAAATGTTCAAGTGTGGATTATGCCTTACGTATACCCTGCTGTGAGACAAATTGTACATATTTAATTGGTACTGAAATGCAGACATTAAAACCATTGTCATCTGGCTTCGTTTACTTTGGAATTTCAAGACCGGGTAATTTACCCATTTAACCACTTAAACATAGTGGTGAATCCGCGGAAAGTAGTTCCTACTTCTCCCTCCCTATCCAGTGTTCTTTTAAATATGACTGGATGAATTGTATCTCTCTCTTGCAGATAAGTATCGAGGAATCCCGGATGAAATCTGACAGAACTTAACGTAGCATCGCGAAAGAAAGAAGAGAACTGAACCCAATTATACTGGACAGAATAACGAAGCTCTCTTAAACAATTTTTACGAGATATCAACCACTGAACTAACAACTTCCTCTTGAGAAATGCCACTGTTATCAATGTTAAGTCAATATCTTCCGCCCATCAATTCGGAACTGGAGAAATTTTATTTATTTCATCGATCCGATCAGAGTCACACTTGTTCGTTGCCACGGTGCGTAGCGGTGTAATGTTGTTATCAACTTGGTTCCTTTTTTGCTAAGTTTATCAAGCGATATGCTACAAGAAAACTTCTTTTATTAAAGTTTTTGAAAATCATGAATTTCTTATTTTGATTATCGTCTTTTACGAAAGACCCAAAGCCGATTTTTTTTCCTTATAGAACACTATTAATCAAGTTCCTTTGCATTTTTTATCATGTCATTTTTCTTATAAGATCAAGAACAGTTTTCCTTTTTCACTCGTAAACTACAAAAGTTCTCAAAAAGCATCGGCTGGAAGGAAAATAAAATTGTAATTCAATGTGTGTAGACACCTTTAATAGGAAGATTTCCAATAACATTTCGACTGGTCGTGAATTATGAATCAGGCACGAGCACCCCTGGGGATATGGTCCGACGAAAAATATCGCATTATTATCCTTCTTTTTTCCTCTATATTTGCTTTTTAAGTTAACTTATATTATCAATTTTATGACTCTTTGATAGGCACCGTTACAACACACTACGGTGCTATGTTCCATGTAAAAAGTACCAAATTTCAGTTGTTTACAGACTTCCGTGATCACTGTTCGAAGTGCGATCGGGCCGCTACATCAGGCGAGAGAATGATATGAGCCCGCGATACCTTGTACTTTAATTTCAAAATAATTCCAAGATGGAGGCGAAGAATTGTCATGAAAGGATACTTTCCCGGGTATTTCACGTATCTCTAACAACCGGGATTGTCCTTATTCTAGTGCTTAAAGATACAGGTAACCAAGGTTGATGCTCTCTATAACTAGCGTAGACATTTCCTCGCGTATTTTGGTGTATTATGTAAATTTGCCGTCATATTTTTTTCAGAACTTAGAAGAGCTTGTTTTGATGGGAACTGGTTGTATGTCGCAGCGTTCATGTCGCTTTGTTTCATCGGTTTCATTTTCTACTTTGTTGCAAGCTGCATGGATCCTGGTTTTGCTGAAATAAGTGACGAAAAAAGTATAATGGTTTCTTTTGAGGTGAGATCTCGCTATGTACGTGCTCAATCAAGACAAAATACATAGGAATCGAAAGTAAATACAGGCAGTTCTATCGCTATTGAATACACAAATCTTTATTCGCTAATTGCTCGAATTGTATAATTATTAATTAGTATTTCCCTGTTGTTAAGTAGGTATGGTCTGTCTCTCATCGAGTGGATGAGTCTAACTTCGTGATTGGAAACTAATTGCGGAAAAAATCACTATCGGATGAGAAAACGTCAACATAAATACTTACATTTACCAAACTAAATCATTGGGAAGAAAAGTATGAAAATAGAAACCGGCATAATGAATATAGATGTTATTTTCAACAAGTCGTTGATAGTTAAAACTTCTTTGAAATTTCATTAAATAAACTTTTTCTCTATTATTACGCCGAATGTTTTCTTGTAGGAAGATACAATATATATCCTGTATCTCTGTTCATCCCCAAATGGCCTTACACTGTTCGTAAGATTGCCCCTTTTCAGCTATCCAATGAATGCATGCTTCTATTTAGTACAAGGCTTACACTTCCGAAGTTATTTTACACAACATCATAATTTAACAAAATGGAACTAAAATGAGATCAATCAATCAAATGTTTGATATTTCATCGTGTATGTTGTGGTTCAATTTTATTCGTAGTTCAAAATTTATTTTCCTTTGTTTTAAACTCATTATCATACATTACAATACCCAAAAACAAAAGAAAAGTAAATTTGAACTAGGGGTAAAATTGAACTACAACATGCACAAGAAGGTTCTTCTATTTTTGTTTTGTTTTTAGAAGAAGTGCATGATAGTCAATAAAGAGAATTACTTATGAGATCTTGGTGTTGAAAGGGATAAAAAGTAATTTGCTCTTAAGAAAGATATTTTTTTGCAAGACGAAAAAAACTTTCTTAATTCTTCACCAAGCTCAAAACTTACTATCTGTACTATTTCTATCTAATTTGCCCTCGAGGTGTCTGGATCTCTTTAGAGTTTTGACTTTGTTAAGTAGTTGTTGCAAATGCTGTTTTTATGATTAATGATGATGTTGATGATGTTTGTGATTGTGATGTGACTTTAGAACTTCATCATTTAACTCGGAATTAAGAAACACCTCTTTAGGAGGCTTATTAGCCACATAGAGCAGACTACACATGTTTGATTGTTCTTGAGTTGTGTGTTTTTGTTAAATTCACCCCACCATTATTTCTCTACAATTGAATATTGTTGATTTACCATTGATATTTTCTTGTAATCACTTTTTCCATGCATGTTTGTTTCACTTGATTCTGTTTCAGATTTACACAATTTCATCAGGACTCTTTCAATTTTGTGGCTACTGTCTCCTTAAGGAGGCAAAGCCACATATGTTGTGGAGATCAGTGAATGAAAAAGTGTAACAATAGTAATAATGTACATGAAAAAATTACATGTATTTGATTGGTTGAAAATGAGTACATTCTCATGTACAACACAAGTGCAAAATTGTAACATGAGTGTAAATTACAAATAGCTTGCAAACATTTTCAAATTTTGTTTATCTTGACTCTCCATGATGTTTTTTCATGTACACTGTTATCAAGTAATAACATGATTCCTGTTGCATTTTGGTGTCTTAAGAACTTGTAAATTTTTGAAAGACTACAACTGCACTTGAATTGCACTTGCATTAATTGGGCTAGTGCAATTTTGTTGTCTTTGGAAAATTTTGTTATGCTCATAAATACAAGATTGCACTCACAATCATGTTATTACCTAGTAGTATACAAATGTGATCCCAACTCAGTTTTGACCCAATGTTTACTGGAGCTACTTATTGTTAGTTAAACACACAGTTGAGTTCTCTCCTTTTGTGATTTCTGGCATGAAGCCACTAGCACATTATTTGACTCTATGGAAGACAGCAAGGGACAATAATTAAAAACATGTCACAATTATTTCTGAATTGCACGCTATTTAAAACAAAAGTTTTTCTTGCAGAAATATCTTGATAGATGTGATTAATCACATCTATCAAGATATTTCCAATATTGGCACACCATGAAACTTAGAGGAAAAGTTTTTTTCTTTGAAGATAGAGCATTTTACTGTTTAAATCAGCAAATTATGCAGATCTGAAGATTTAATCTTTTTAGTTCTTGCTGTGACACTACAAAAGATGATCAACATTTTAAACTAATTCCACAGTGGCATCCACCAACACAAAGCTTTGTGTTCAGCAGATAGCTTCCATGTTTTTGATCATGCCTATATCAACTCAAGATAAAAGAGGCTATTCATATTCAAAGAGAAAAACCATCCTTGAATTAACAATTACACCGTGTAAATCTAAAACTGTCTTTTTAATTCTCACACTTTCATGCTTTACCTCTTTTCTTGTTGTCATTATTTATCATAATTAGCATTTTTCTAATTACTATATAATTCAACTTCCAATGCTAAATGTACATTAATTAACTGAAGATGACAGAAGTTTCTGTCATTCTGTTTTAAAAGTTTTTTGCTCTCTTTAAATTCTTGACTTGCCTGCTAATATCAAGACCCTTTGGAAACGCATAATTTAAATCAAAACTTTTCCTTGCAGAAATATCTCAATAGATGTGATCTGCCCATTAGAGAAACTTTGAAGAAAAATTGTCTCCATTGAAAAAAAAGCATTTTACCATTTGAATCAGCAACTTATGTCAAAAAGAGCCACTAAATTTGTTAAGTGAACAAGCTGCAAAATACGATTCCTAGGGTTATTCAACAGAATAATGGAAAGTAAGAACAGTGGATGGCTGGATGGCAGAATATCTTAAGACTCAGAATGACAGAATATCTTAAGACTCAGAATGACAGAATATACTAAATTGCTGATGCTTTTTCTTTATGAAACAAAAGTTATAAAAAATGGAATTGGAATAAAATGAGAAATTATCTATAATTAGCAGGCAAAATTAAAAGAAGCATACTTAGGTAATCATTCTTGGAGCCCAGAGGATATGGGAACCATGAGGCTTTCGAGTTAGCCCCTCTAAATTATTACTATAATTATTACAATTGTAATCAGTATCATTATTTTTATTATTATTATTTGTTACCATTTAAGTATTGCTTGAATGTCTGTTAGACAATATATTCTTGAATGATCTTACTCTTGTGGGACAGGGTACTCATAAATATGTGGGATGTGGCAGGTATACTCTTTTGCATGTGAGACAAATATTCTGCAACACAACCTGACATTGTGATACAACCTCTAGTTCTTTTCAATGCCATAAACATTGTGCTACATCAGTAACCACATGCAGTCTTTGACTGTCTATTTTTTTCTAAGAGAGGCACTCAATGAATCTTGAATTTTACCAATTGATTGGTCCTTGTACTAAGGATCCATTTTGATGATGATGATTGGAGTCAAGGATGCTCTTGCATTGATAACAATGGAGTTTATACTGTTACCCAATGACTCTTGGATACACCGTGTTTAATAGTTTTACAATTTATCACTTAGAAAGCAGAACATGAATCAGAGAGCCAGTCAGATGGAGAAGAAGGCACTGAAGAATCCTGTAAAATTTTAGCCACTCCTTCCTTTGGTGGTGCTAGATTGCGGCGCTGTGGATACTGTGCCATATTACAGCCACTGCGAGCCAAACACTGTGAGGACTGTGGCCGTTGTGTGCGGAGATATGATCATCACTGTCCCTGGCTTGGAAATTGTGTTGGGGAAAGAAATCACAGATTTTTTTGGTGCTTTCTTTTGACTCAATGTGTTCTAATTGCATGGGCCACTGAAATAACCTGGTAAGAATTACTACTTTTTATTCTTTTCAAAATGACTGGCTTGAAATGACCATAAATGTGGCAGTCACTATGATTATAAGCCAGCAGTGGTTGAGCTTCACCATTTATCTTTAGGGTTTTCTATAAGGTATTCAAACAAGTTTTCACAATTTGTCGGAGAAGAAGTATGATGGATAAAGTCTGAAGGAAATGAAAAGTAAAAGACATAGTTTGGAGTGGTTTAAGACAAATAGAGTCAGACACAGTAAAATCACCTGGTTGGGCTCTTTATGATTGTATAAATAGATAACAGATGCACTAAAAACTCTTGATTGTTTTTCTTCCTAGGTATGCTTTTATGTACAAGAAAGAGTGGTTGGCCTGGTTCCTTGCAAATGGTTTCCTGATTTTTGCAATGTTTGTGCTGGGTCTTACTTTTATTGTAGTTTTTCTTTTATTCTGCTGCCATTCCTATTTGATGGTGACTGCTCAGACAACCTGGGAGTATATGTCTCGCTCAAGAATTTCATACCTGAAGACCCTCAGTGAAGACGTGAATCCATTTGATCAAGGAGTATTTTGTAATGTGTACAGCTTCTTGTGTAGATGCCGAGTGCAGAAATGGGAAGTACTGCTGCGGCAGAGAGATCGCTGGGCTTAGTCTAATTAATGTCAAAAATAATTTTTTTTCAATTTACGCTAATCTAAATTAGGAATTTTTATTTTTGCCAGCTTTATTTTTACCCATTATTTTCCTTCCTTTCTAATTCCACATTATTATAGGCCACATGTAGAAGTTGTACATATGATTTTAAAACAGCCCTCAAAGGTGCAACCATGGTTTCCTTGGCTAGCAGAAGACAATTTGCATCTAAATTTGTGGCTATAGGTGTTAATGTGATAATGTGTTTGGTTGTGAAATACTGTGCCAAGCTGCAACATTTTCACTTCTAAATGTTTATGGCCTTAAGGTGAACTGTGACAAACATCTACATGGAGGATTTCATAATTTGGCACAAAATTTTCTTTTTGGTGTTTCCCCTCTTTTTGCTTTTTTTTTTTCTGGTTTTTCAAACTTTACTTCTGGCAATCACTTCGTGATTTTAGCTTTTCAAATGGTGTTTTTAGAAATTTGATTTGGAATCCCTGAAGTGATACTCATGTATACCCTTACTAATACTAACAGAAGTGATCAAAGTAAATGGTTTGAAGTGATCAAAATGCATCTTAGTAATTTTAATATGATATCTAATGAAGAAGTGATGATTGTAATGAACAGACTTATCAGAAAGAGGGGCTAATATTCATTTGTAAGAACACCAAATCTTCTAATCAATCTCTGTCACTAAAAAGTGTATAGTCACTTCAAGAAAGAATTAAGAATTAATTACTGGGACTTGGATGTTAACATTTTGCCATATCTGTCCACAACCATAAAGCTATAATTAAGATAGAGTTTATTTTCGTTCACCAATATTTCGCTCTATTCATGTTTTTGCTTTATTATTATGATATTCACTTGTGACAATATTTGATTTCTTTAATAGACAGTTTCAGAAAATATGCAGTGTCAGAAAAATTTTCTATGTCATCTAGTTACACTGAAGGTTTTGTCCAAAGATGTTCATTTGTATGATAAAGTCCCATAGGTTTATATTCACAGGTATTTCTGTACTGCTCATTTTTATTGAGAGTGATACATGTATCTGTTATTAGAGGGTTGTAAGAGCTCAACACTTTTGTAGATTGCTCATGAAATGACGGTTATATCAGAGCAAAGAGTTGCTTTGAAATTGACTTACCTCACCCTTTCACTTCTAGTAGTGACCAAAAAGGAATTTCTCCTCATAATATTTATATATTATCATGCAGAAAGGTGATAAGAAAAAAGAGAAATATCGAGTAGGGGAGATTGTTTGAATAAAAACCAAATTCTTGCAGCTAAAATTTTTAACTCAGATTGTGTGAAGAATTGATATTCAGATTATTGGAGATTAAGGGTCAGGTGCTAGCAAAGTCAAGATTCAGTTAAACCTTCAACTTTCACAAGTAATTTTCACATGAATATCATTCCAGTTGAAGAGTGAAAAGAATGTTATTGCTTGTTGATATAACACTTAATTCTCCTGACGTACTTGTGGGGAAATGATCAGCTTCTAAAAGGGAGAATTACCAAAGATTAGATCTTTAGATGTTAAGGGTTAATTATGTTGCTAAGCAACAGTATGAGACATTGATAGTGTGTGACCAGTTATTTCTCTTTTGGGAAATGAAGGCTCAATATTAAATGGTTCTTACTAGAAAGTTCGGCTGTGGATGGCTGTTATAAGTTATTGACACGAAAACGGGTGAAACAAATGTCTCCAAATTAATTGTACTTAGGAATATGTTGCTTATTAGTGAAACAAGTTAATATTGCGAATGATAGTCCTAATAATATATGCCATGAACAATGCTTGTTGACTATGTGTGTTGTGCAACCTTTACATCAAAGTTCCGTTTCCTAGTGAACCTGATGACTAAATTTTTTAAGGGTGTTTTAAGGTGCTTAGCTCTCAAGGTTTTTTTCGGTGTTTTATTATCTGTTAATTGCTTGATCTTGCTGCATGAAACATCGCCCTCGCCGGGCATCAAGTGTCTGCTTCGCGCGCAGGCTACATGTGCCTGATTGTAACTTCTGCTGAGGTGGCTCATCTAGAAGAGCGCTATACTGATTTATAAGAGGTTGAGGGCTTTTTCGGCCGTTTTGTAGGCCCCGTCTCCTGTGTCTTCCCTATTGTGGTTAGCAAATGACGTCAAAGAATCCACACGCTGTTCTAGAGGAGAGGGACCCAAAAATTCCCGGTATGATGAAAGTTTTAAATCAACCCTTACCTATTTCAGTGTAAAATATCTATGCCAGGACTGCTTACACTTCTTTTGAGAAAATTTTTTCCAGGTGTCCTTCGATGATTTTTTTTTTCTTTTGGTGCGATGCATCGAAGCGTAGCAGCGCTACAGTCACCGCCCACTCTTACACTGTTAATTTTTCGGCGCCCGAAAAAAAAAAAGAACGTCCCATCGCAGGTTGTGCTGTAGCTGGTTAGCAGATGCCTTCCCAGTCAAAGAAGACCAGTTATCCATTCAGCACCTTTGTGTAACACCCATAGAGCTGAAAAAACACGAGAGCCCTCTCAATTCTGAGATCAAATGTTTTGGCACAACCCATCAGCCGGTTCATTCAGCGCAAATCCTCTGTAGCAGACGGTATCGTTCCTTCGGTTAGGCTTTGCTTTGAACTGTTCGTGTCTCGACGCCGACCATCAGCCGATATTTTCAGGGAATTTACGCCGTCAGTCTACAAAACGGCAATATGAAATAATCACATTTGCGTAATCTGAGAACGGAAGTACTGAACACAAATTATTCTCTTTGGAACTCAACGCCCTTTCCACTTGTCACGCTAAATGAAGCCAAATAGTCATTTGAACAAAGGCAGGGGAATACACGCGAATGAAGCTTTCCGTTTTCGTGACTGGTCAAAAATCAATACAGCTGCGTGGGAGGCCTTTCAAACTTTGTTGTACAGTGGATTTCGTAACTAGCATAGCTTTCTTCGTTTACGCTCTTGAAGTGTAGATTGAAAAAGGTAGCTCATGTCCCTAGGTAACTTTTTCTAGGAGAGACCTGAGTTTAACCACACGGCTATAACATTGCTACAGTCACAGGGATTTTCAGAACTTTCCTGGCAAAGCTAACAATAACCTCCATATAAAAAGGTGCTACCCAGCCGGCTAATCAGAGTTAAACGACAGCCACTGAGGAAAATATTAAATCTCTAACTTTAATGCCGAATTATTTTAAACTGTCGAAAAGATTATTTCACGGTAAGCATCTGTGGGGGTTTTAACTAGTGGTAGAAGATGCTTAAGTAGTCTCGAATCGAAGCCGGGTTACTCCGAACCGAAAACCATCGCTTAACTACTACGTTGCTAAGCTATCATCCAACCACGTTCCCTGAGTGGACAGAATATAGAACGCGAAATTTTTTGAACGCGAGCGTCAGACTCTTTCCATTTCGCTTTAATTTAAAAAATTTTCCACTTCGATGACCATTTTTTGTCTTTTCCATTTTTAGGAGTTTCACAATCGGTGCCCTAACCAAGTCTCAACATGTTGACGAAACTAGCTTTAGTTGTCGGCCGTAAACACTCCTGTCACTCCTGGATGAGCCCTGTCCTTCGATAAACCAACCGCGTCCAAAGAACTTCAACTTTCCTAATAGTCACCAAAGCTAGCCCTTCTGCCTCGATTGAAAGCAGTAAGGATGAAAGAAAATCAATGTATAATATTTGTCTTTTAATAAGTTTATAACAAATCTCCCTCCTGTCTCACGCTGTAGGTATATTCTGCCGTTCTTCCGAGTCCAGTCCGTACTCGGAGCTTGAAATTATTCGACTCTAACAGCGGCTCGTTATCAAGTTTAACTCCCCCCACCCACTCCTCCCCGCTTCTCGCCCTCTCTCTCCGTGTCCTTCAATAGAGCGCGCCACCTGAAAACATGTTATAAACGGTCAATGTTTACGACGTTTACAAACAAAACAAATAAATCTGGGCCGTACTGTTGTTGCAGGCGGCCGCACTGGGCTTGAGTCTGACTGTGACCAGTGAAGCATATAGGCTAATCAAGAGCGAGCCCAATCACCCCCCTCGGGTCATTGTGGTTGCACTGTGGTTATTCATCGTTCAACTGGACGTCAATTCCAATTTGATGATACATAAACTTACGGTGCAGCCGTAACGATAACCAGAGAACAAACTGGGTCAGACTAAATCGAGTAAGATTTACCACATGGAAGCTCCTGGAGAGAGGTTGGCAATTTCGTTCATTTAATAACATACGTCGTTTATTATTTTCGTTTCGAGCTTAGCTACATCGATACCGCGGCATCCGTTTAATTTGAGTTGTCTTGGAGGGCAGGGTCAGAGGTTTCTTTCATCCAAGTCGAGATACCCTGTCTGTGATTTTACTTCCAAACTTGCGCTTGTCTAAAGTAAGATCAATTTTCAATCAATCTCCTCGGAGTTAGGCATCTTAATTACTTATTGTCTGACTATTTCTTTTTTTGCGTTGATCTGCATTCCTTGTGTTCATGAATACAAAAATACGCCAGTATTTAAATTTGCAGTCCCCAGGGCACTAAGAATTAAAAACAATACCGGCTTAAATGATTAAGATATGGAGCTTCTTTAAACTCTTTCTACCTGATACATCCACTGACTATGAAGGAAAGCTTCTTAAAACACTTCTGATTAGTTAATTTTAGGATTATATTAAACATATCTACGAAAGTATAACATATCTCCCATAATTTTCTTACAAAAGTATGATACGTGCAATTTCAACCGGAACTGTAAAAAATTCCAAATCTTTCTGTCATCAACTTGTAAAGTAAATCCGGGTAACTAGGTCTCGAGAGTTTACGAAAGCCAAACGAAGTCAATTAAATATAGCTTCACAATAAAAAGCGTTCTCTTACGCGGCAAATAGCCAGGACACTTTGCCATCGAATAGTATCTAAGGAAAAAACTTGATGCACTTTTGTTCAATCACGCTACTCCTAGCGTAATAGACTCTGTGTGACAAGCATAAGTTAAACAGAGACCGTTTGCTAACTTCAGAAGTCCGGGGCAATCCTATTTCCGTTGCATCTCAGACGTGCAAGCTCGCTGACTGAAAGTGAGGTTAGGTTTCTTAGAAGCTAGCTGCTTGAAAGAGTGAAACATCAGTTTCTATGCTATCAAAACAGCATAATATCTATTTATCTATTTCTAGCCTTCTCGAAGCCCTAAGTCAGTGTTTGTAAGCTTTACATTACGAGAACCAGTGTATAAATTTGTTCCAATCCCATTTGATTAGGAAAAGATGCAAAAATGTGCAGTATTCAACAAGAGTGCTTCCCTTTTTTCTGCTAGTACCAAGGTCACTAGAGTGTTTTTTTTTTATTTTTGCCTCAAAGCTAAAATTGAAATGAAATAAAGTAAAAGAAAAGAAAGAACTCATAATATGTCTCGTCACTATAAGAAAGAGAACAAAAAATAGCTTCTCGAACTTCTCATCATTCGAAGAGGCACTTAAGAGTCATCTGACTAAACGGTAGCCCTCGGATCACATGAGTTGAGCTGAAATTCGTGAAATGCCGTATAAAACTGTACTCATCGGCAACCAATAAGCAATATCCTCAACCATCAAAAGCAATCCATTTTACTGTTGGTATTAAAAAAAAATATATTGACGGTTGGTGATAAAAACGGCCTATATAAAATTCCTGCTACTTGATCTAAAAATGATAAGCACTCTCTACCAGTTGAGGTATGTATGCAAAAGTGCCACTCAAGTGTTAAGATATACGATGATAAAAGCATTATAAAACCATATTTATCTGTCAATGCCGTCATGAAATTTGAATCAAGAATATTCGAGAGCCCATTTGAGTCTCAACTGAAAACTTTTCCCTCTTTTATCTAATGGACATTTTGCCACTAAACTTGATCCCATCGATCGAGGTTATGATGAGGCAACTTTAAAAGCTAAGAGAAATGTAACTTGACGTCTAAACCCGCATAGAGAGGAGTAGGGGTAAATAAATATAGCAGAACGACGTAAAATTTTATAGGACTGCTGCACTTATTCAGTGATTCATCTTTCTCGGAAACTGCCATTCGAATACTGATCACTGATTTAAAAGCAGTTCGCTGCAGATGCAGAAAAGAAGCAGATAAACATAACACTTGCGGTCAATTGTAAGGAAACAAGTGCCAAATCATCCCACGCAAAGCAAATAAACAATGAAAGATCCATGGCAATAATCGAGGCAATTTGGAAAAGCGCAAATAAATTTAACGCTCAGTTAAGCAACAACTCGCTAATTTACAAAAGACTTCCCACCCTCACTGACGTCATTGTAAATACGTAAGATCACGTTGCGCGTACGAGATTCATGCATAAGTAGTTAGTTAATCGAGTCACCGTAGCTTCGCTCGAGTTTGTTACGCCCGGTGGCATCACGTTTCAACAACAACAGTTACATCTTTTTTATGGTACTAGAATAATCAGTCAGATTGGATAAGTCACGAGGAAAGGTAAGCCCTGCCCCTACTAGGGGTAAGTGGCTCCAACGCGGGCTTTCAAGGTAAGAGATAGTTTCTTGGCGTGATTTTATTTATGCCATCACACTATCGGCTCTCTACATCACTGGTAACTACGCGATCAAAACAACGTCTATTGCGGATGCTGTCATCTCCTCAACTGCAATTACACAGCTGTACTTTAATCGGCTAGATGCTGAATTGTTCTTTTTTTTTGTTTTTTACAGTCGAAACTGCTTGTAAACAAGTAACGAACCGATTAGATGTTAGTGTATTGATTCAGTTATTCGCAGAGCGAGCTATTCGATATCAAATCAGTCCGCAAATTAAGTCGCAGTGAGAGATTTCAAAACAGATTTTAACCACACTTTGGAGATTATTTATCTGTTATTGAAGTGTTTTTCTGAGAACTAGAAATTTTGGAAAACGCAATTGCGATCTTAAAGAAAACGAGTGAGAAAATCAGTTGGTCTCATCAATATTGTAAGGTCAAACGTGATAGAAAGTTTTGAAAATTGACGAGCGGACCCGTGTTCAAACCTCGATATAAATTAAAAAACTGTTCAGAGCAAACTCAGCAATAACGATTGCGCGTTTGTAATAAATGTTTACTCTTGTTAGGGAGTTGACAATTTTCAAATGTCATAGCTATTAATTCTGTCAAAAATGCCTGGGCGAAAGGAAATGCAAAGCACCGTCATATGAAGCATACGAGGTCTAGCACAAACTACATGGAATCTTTTGGTAATGTGGACTGTATCTACATGGAAGATGCTTTATTCCGCGAACTTTTGCCTCTAGTAAGGTCGAACAGAAAGTGAATAACCTCGAGTCAAAGCTATCGGCGTTGTGTCATGGTTTGTATTGTATTTTGTCGGTTTCGTTCCATGTTTTGCGTGACCTCTTGCGGCGGGAGTTTTTAGTAGGTTCTTTGTCACGTTTACAGAAATGTTTGATTGTTAAGCTGAGCTTCAAGTTACCTCTGATTACCTTCTCTTGTTGATTACGGCCTAAGACGCAAGAAGGGAAAGATAAAGCGCGCTTTTGCAGAGTTTTACTCGTATGCTAATCGCTCAGTGGGTAATTACTAATTAGTTTGATTTGTTAATAACTTGTTTGACAATTGACTTCACATTTACCGACACCAACTGAATACTCTAATGAATTTTGCACCTTTCAGTGACGAATGGAAAAACGCCAAGGATGAAATTGTAGTTTTGGTCTTAAAACGGCCCCTCTTTTGGTCCCACAATCCTTCCATCAAACGAGTAAAAATCCTTGAGAGTCATTTTCTTTCCCATGAACAGGAAACGTTTTCAGAATAACATCATAGTGACGCTTCATATCGTTTATGATTTTGTCTTGCGGTATGGGGGCCTTTCGCTTTCATTGAAATAATATAAGACGTAGAAAGTAAAATCAAAACTGACGAAATCCTGAAAAGATACTATTTTCATTTCCGCGGTTTAGCACTTATGTAGGAATCGGCATGGGTGTCGTGTGCAATATCACGGTAACCTAGAAACCAAAGATGTCGTAGATGAAATTGCCTTGCGAGTAGATTTAGAGAGCATTCGATATTCCCAGATGAATATTAGGAAAAAGGATGGAAAGTAATTTGAATTGTAATTGAAGAGATTGTGCCCACATGATGATTACTGATCGATCATACTCGAGAGTCTTGACCAGCACAGCCTGAGTGCAACTTGTTAAGAACTGTACTCACATTAGTATGAAAATGGAGATATTTCTTACTTCGTTTCGATCTGTCGGCCAACGATGAAACTGGCCAAGTGCACGGAATGATTGGAGTGACGCAAATATTGTTGGGGATGAGAGTGATTGCAAATGGTGATGGTCTTGGCCTGACGTAGTAATGTTTTAACATTTCCTTGACTTCTTTAACATCGGTGACATTGAGACGAATTATTTGATTTATTTTTCGCATTTTAGCCTGATTTGTAATTTTAATCTCCCGCCCGTTTGATCTCAATAGTTCCAATACATCTCAGTAGATACAATATCTGCCCAGTGTTTGTCATACATTGCTTATAATTTTAGGCCTGAGGATTAAGGTTTAAATCTAACTTCTTCTCTGCTTCACAATTTATTTACGTTGAAGGCAAAAATCACTCGTGGCCTCTCCTGGAAGTGTAAGGGTGTTACGGAGTTCTTATGTACTTCTAATGATTTACATGCTTCTATACTTGTAGTCAGCGGGTGCTGTACGCTTACCAAAAAGATGATGACCAGGATGATGGCGACCCTAGCCCGCTACCCATCCCAGGATCCTTCAGTGGCAGAGTACCACAAATCGTTGAGTTGGCAACGGTAGGCTGTTAGTAGAATAATCAATAGGTCGTGCAGGGGATTTAGTAATTCTGGTAGGAACGCAAACTATCGACTATTGTCTCGAATTACGACTTATGATTGCGCATGAAAAGAGCGAACTCACACAGAGTAGCTTTCGAAGCTAACTTTGAGAGATAGGTCATGAGGTTCAATTTGTGAATCAATTATATTTATCGCATGAGCCCTGACAAAACTTTCAATTAAAACTAAGTTTCAGAAAAAATAAAGTGCGATTTCCAGTCGAGGTACAGATAAGATACCGCAGCTTTATCGTATCGCGACTAGGGAAACGCCCGTTCCCATAAAGGCAGCAGCGAATTAAATTTTTCCAATTGGATCCTGAATGACTTGAGTTCTGGGTTTTTTTTTTTTTTTTGGCAGAAAGGACATCATTTCTTCCAGAGACGCATGGAGAGCCTTCACAGCTGCGTCTTCAAATGCAGTTTCTTTGGTGCACCTTTCGTGGCCCTAACGGATCATGAAGGAATACAGTGCTTGTTCAACCAAAAATTGGTGAGAGGCTTTGTTATTCGTAACACAGCGATTTTGTGACTGAGTCACAGTTTCCAAATTTTTGTAGTTGACGTTTAAATGCAGGGGGAAAAACGCTTCTACTCTTTCTTCAAAGGTGTCCCCCTAGCAAGATGGCTTTCTTGTCTCCTTTTGTTCCTCATCTTCGGCGTCGTGTTCTTCCATTCGTTGAATTCACGTCAAAACGTTTGGTTAACGGTGGGCGAAATGATGTATTACTGAATAACAAACAGTTACCTGACATTTGAAAGAAGATTACCCGAGACTGCAGAGGCAATTCTGCTTATCTGTACCATTTGCCTCAATGGGCTTGATGCTGCTAGTTAAAAATTTATTGATATGTAGATGATATAGACAGTCAGAGGAATATTCGAAAAAAAATAGAACTGAACCTCTAGGATTTAAATGTGACTTTTCTCTCGAGGCGCAACAGTTGGGTTTCCCCAAGTTGAAGACAATATTTTTTTTGTGTCAATTTTCTTCTCTAGGTAGAAAAAGAACCTGGATTTGGAAATTTCCGTTTTAATCAAAGCCTTTTGGGGGAACATGTACCTTCCATGTTTTCTAACGGCGAACGACACAGTCAACAGAAGGGATTTCTGATCGCAGTTTCACAAAATATGCTGCGAATGGGGAGACTCATACCCAACATCATGGACATTATGCCGGAACATTTGATAAAATGGAATTTCAAAGAGGGTAAGAACAAATGTATTTCTGACACTCCCAGGGGAAAGGAGCTTGAGTCAGAAAAGAGAGGTTAAGCAAAAACCAAAATAATCACAAAGGCCAATTCGAACAAAGCTGAGAATTTCAAAGAGCCAATGAGCACCTTGAGTAAATTTGTGCACACGGCCTTGAGTGCTTCAGAACGTGAATGACCAAGTCGCTATTGGTGTACGTCTTTCGTGTAACTGATTTACAGGGTAGCGGAAGTTTTATTGACCAATCATAGGACGTAGAGATACAAACCAATGCAATCCAGTTACTTATACACTCGGTCGAAAACCCTTAGAGCGTCATCTGAAGCGTCCTCTTTGATTCGTTCTTAGGGACCAGTCGTTATTTATCACGAGGGGGGTGTTGATTTTGGGGTGATCACATGATTTTCAGGGGGAACG